AAGATGGGTGGCGGGGTGACGAATGCACGCCAGTCTAGCCCACGACCCTTGGCCTTTCGTTTGGCCGTCCGTGAGGACCCCTACGACACCATCGTATAGACGGGAGGGCGATGGAGCTATCGTTCAACAGTCCTGGGTACTGGTCCTTCGTCGCCGTCCACCCCGCACAAGTGGGTGTTTATAAGGATGCGGGCGTCCTTGCGAAATGCACGATTGAACTCCAAACACGTGCATCACGCTACACACGCCAGCCTTCTCGTTGTCTCGCCTTCACCTGCTCCTGCCTCCTCCCCCTGCTTGCTCTTCTCCGTTGCACGAAGGTAGTCGCACGTTGCACTCCGCCTTCTTGGACGATCCTGGTCTTGCAGCGGGTTCACTGTCTTGTGCGCGCGCCTTCTACAAGCGTTCCGACGTCATCGTCGTCATCCTCACCGCCTTCGTCGCCGTCACCGCTTTTGTTGCCATCATCACCATCATCACTGCGATCACGGCCGTCGCCTTCTTCAACGCACGGGGGCTTCCACCGTCGTCGTCGCCGCATTCAGCGTGGGACCTGTGAACGTCATCGTTGCGTTCTTCCACCGTGGAGTGCGCAACTCATATTCGTCATCGTCACCGCCATCGTCGCCATCATCGCCATAGTTGTCGTCTCTCCCGCCGTCACCGCCGTCGTCTTCGTCGCCGTTGCGGACCGTCGTCGACAACGTCGCCATCATCGCCATAGCCGCCATCGCAGTGGAGACGATCTTTCGAAGCGCAAGGCACATTTCGCCAACGCAGCGGAGATCTCGACTTTGCGGGTGATCAAGCTTCAAGTGGGTGTGTCGTGCGCCATGTCGTCCCACGGTTCTGGACGCGGCAAGTCCGCTGCCAACCTCGTAGAGGATGCGACGGTCCGAGAGAAAAACGGCCGCCGCGTGGCCAACAAGAAGAGGAAGGTCGTCCAAGGCGGCCCCTCACTTGCAAGTTACGTCGACGATGAAGACTGGGTGCCGGAGGGGGTGGCAACGCGGGACGAAACCAACTTCGACGAAGAGGATGATGCGCCATTGAAGAGGAAGTCGTTCAGGCGGACGGGTGGAAGCCTCTTGATAGACGAGGGTGGCGATAGACAAGGCGGAGGAGGGCGCGCAATCATGGAAGACATCGTCGTCGTCGACACCGCGGTGGCATCCACGGAGGGCGGGGGAAGTGTCGTCACACATCAAAATCGAGCGCCCATGCCACATGTGAATGACGCCCCCGACGCGCAAGAGGGTGCGCTCCGTGCACGAACACCAACAACCCCGCGCTCGAGGACAGCTGCAGACGTGGGGTCATCGCGCAAGCCAATGCTCAGGGGAACAAGAAGCGCTCTCCTGCACAGGAGCCGCACGGGGCCGCACGGGGGGGGGCCTTCACACGCAGGGGAAGGCGTGAGGACGGGTGGGGCAGCAGTGGGGGGGGCATCACACGCGGGAGA